ATATTAAGGAGCCACATTAAAATCTCTAAAATTTTATTTTAATTTCATTTAAAAGAAAAATACAGAAAAAATAACACAACCGTTCTTCCTGTAAATGCTTAAGCCTAAGCGTGGTTGTTTGAAAAACAATGGGTCTCGTGCAAGAACATTTTTGTATTCTTATCTTAAATTTCTCTTACTTTAGTTTGTGCGAAACTGATGAATATGTATCCATGTGCTCGCACACAAGGAGAGGAGAATAGCATAGTTACCATCCCCAAAAACACCATATGAAGATTTTAAAATCCACTTTGCCAACCATGTTCTTGCATGTGTTGCAGTGGAAGGGCTTACCTGGACTTACTGCATTTTCTCTTTTAATGTAAAACATGCATGTGAAAAAGAATGTCTCATAATGGCATCACTGAGATGTGATGTTTTAACGTCTTATGAAGTATAAACCAGGCTTTAGCCTTTCGTTGACTAGGTTGCAGCATGCAGCAAAACTGAACTAAACTGTTTTACATTTAGTCCTTCTGTTGGAGGGTACCAATAGTCTGATATGTACTTGTCTATGAGCATTTCTAGATTAAACACAGGTGATGCTGAATTTGTAATAGCATCACATGAGGAAAGGCTTAATGTGTCATAATTGCAATTGTTTCTAGTCATCATTTTAAAATATAATTTTTCTGAGTTTTCAGTTTGTGTTTTAAGAATGCTGAACACTTCCACAGGGCAATTAACTGCAATCAACATGTCCCTTGGTTTGGCAATGACAAGTGATCCCACAACACAGAACACTTTGGTGAGATAAATGGTGAACTGCAGAAATTTGAACTATATAATTTAAAAACTTTGCTTTGTTGCTTGAAAAAAAAAAAAAACAAAGACAACAACAACTTAACAACCTGTTGAAACTTGATCTTTTTTCAGGCTTGTGGTCCAACCATACCTAAAGACTGCAAAACAATCACCATGTACAACGGTTTGTGCATTGAGATAAACCGGGATAACAGCTTTAGACGTTCTTTCCCATCTTCTACCGAAGGTAAAATCACAGTAGGTTTTCAGGACGAGCTCTTCTTTGTTGAAAAAAACATTTTGTCTCTCCTCCTAGAAACTTCTTCAGTGTCAGTAGTTACTGTATAGATAAACTTGACCTAACATTAGGCTGATGGTGCTGACAGTCCTCTGTGAACAATAGGGTTAATCAGGGCACTAACTACCGATCTTTAGGCTGATGATCCTCTTTTGCAGGTGAACTGACAGTTTTGATTGTTATTGGTAAACTTGTTTGTCATCCACCGCTTACAAGACTGAGTTTACCTGTTCACCTCTTGAAGGACAGACAAGAATGTTTTTTCAGCAAAGAAGAACTCATCCAGTGCACCTACTTAACTTTTTTTAATAGATTTTTCTATCTGGATTATTAAGATATATTACATATATTACAACATTATCACAGTCATACACTGTYATACAGTGTTTCTCCCAGTGATAGGAAAAATGCTGTGTGAGAATGTGAGTAGGTGCACTTTATGAACACAGTCACAAAGCAGTTCACTTGTATATGCAAGAACAAAATCTCAGTTAAGGGAGGTAATCAAAAACTTTGGATGTGAAAGTCTGTTTTTAACACTGGTTTTCTTTTTCTTAACAGAGTGTTCAACACAAGCTGACATTGCATTTCTGCTGGACGGCTCAGGGAGTGTGTATTCTGAAGATTTTAGAAGAATGAAGACATTTGTAAAAAATCTAATCAGTACATTCCTGGGAAAAGATACTAAAGTAAGACTCAAGTTTACAGTGTTTGGGTAAAGTAGGATATTTTTATGTAGTTGATTTTTTAAGCCCTTCTTCCTTTTTACACAATGATACATTTCCCCCTAACATGTTCTTTATATAAAGTGCTAGTTTTAGCTTTCATTTTGCTTGTTGAGTGATATTTCTATTTCATTTGCTGTATTTGTCCTTGTTTTTTGCAGTTTGCCATCACCCAGTTTTCCTCCGAAACTCAAACTCATTATTACTTCGACACATTTAGCACTGCAGACTGGAAAAAACAAATTGATAACATTGATCAAATGGCAAGAGGAACATACACAGCTGCAGCCATCCGAACTGTTGTGTGAGTACATCTATGTTAAAGGATTAAACTAGCCTAAACTCATTTTACTTTTGGACAGAGATTAGGAACATAACGCATACTGAAATGTTTATTTTTCAACAGGGCTGATGTCTTCTCAAAGAACAGAGGTTCCAGATCAAAGGTGAAGAAGATTTTGATTGTCATTACTGATGGAGAATCTAGTGACAGCAGTGACTTTCCAGAAGCAATAAAATTAGCTAATGACAAAAACATTGTTCGATTTGCTATTGGGGTAAGCTGCATCCAAAAATGTGAAAATACATATAAACTTCAGTGATTCTTTTAAACTGGCCTGTACAATCCTTATTTGTTTTATTAGGACACAATCAAAATAGCTTTTCGTTATATTGTGTTTTTAACTTAAACCTTTGAAACATGAAGTCACAAATCTTTTAGGATTTTGAGTTTTCAGTRACATAAAGACATTCTAAAATATGAAGGTCCAAAACTGTCATGTTTTTACTCTAAACTCCAGAAGTTTTTGTAAAGTAATTTGTGTCTGTGGGGAAAAAAGTGCGTGGTAAGCTCAAACTATTTAATAATTTATTTTGAGTGAAAATTAGATAAGTTAGTATTTCTTTAAGATAAGTGTTTTAGCWGCTTTCAGCTGATGTATTTCTCTTTATAATTTTTACCTACATAGGTAGGGGATGCATTTTCAAGCCCTGAAGCCAAAGAAGAGCTCAGAACCATTGCGTCGTATCCCCCTGAAAACTTTACGTTTCACGTGGGAAGCTTTGACGCCCTTTACAAAATACAAGAGAGTCTGCAAGATAAAATTTTTTCAATTGAAGGTAAAGATGGTATTTAACTAAACCTACTGTCCATTCTCAACCAGTCAATTTGTACTTACAGCTCTATACAACAAGTACTCAAAATATATGCTTTAATCAAAAGTTACTTTATTTATTTATCATTGAAAGTTTAATTTTTGTCAAACTGCTTGAATAATGCCTGAAATACCTTTGAAGATTTTCAAGAAACTCAATTCTCACTTCTTTTGACATCACAGGATCTCAAACGGATGGCGAGACCCTGAAACTGGAAATGTCTCAAGAGGGGTTCAGAGCAGCTTATGTACCTGGGGTAAAAAAGAAACACTAGATATTATTTAAGTGCCAGTTAAAGTCTTAATGTTAAAAACAAATCACACTTTAAATAAATGGTATTTTAGACTTTTATTTCTACATTACAGGGCATTCAAATGGCCATTGTTGGTGCTAACCAATGGAGAGGAGGCTACAAGAAATATTCACTTTCAAATGCCATAAATCCTGGGTTTTATGAGCCAAAGTTTATAGAGTCTGACAGTTATATTGGTGAGAAAACAACAACAAAAACTAAATCAAAAGAGTAATGCATGTAAAGCATGTGTGTCAACAGCAACAGCTGTGGGGGGGGGGGTCATCTGTCAGTACCATTAGAAAAAATATCTCATGAATCACTATACATATTTGAAAGGAATTTTGTAAAAACTACAGATTCATTTCAAGAACTCATTTCAAAATGGCTTCTACAGTAAAGTGATCACAAAGGTTGCCATAGCTAAGCCCGGTTTACAGAAACCGAGCTAAAATTTGGCATGGTAGTAACTGACAGTCATGTATGACATATATTTCAGATGATGCTATATCACACAAAATATTGCGTGAGAGTGTACATACCACAACTCTGTCAAATGACATCAACTTGGTGATGAACTGAGGAGTAAAATCCTCAAGAAACGCATGGCCACATATTTTAATTGTTCATGATATTTGATTTCTAGGTTATTCCATGGCTGTTGCTGAAACCACATCTGGCACACTGACAGTTGTTGGTGCTCCGAGATACAAACACAGAGGAGCTGTTATCACGGTTTACAGAGAGGATCGCCAAAAAGTAATTGACCCGTATCCACAGCAGGTAAGCTTAGAGGTGATATAAGATGCAACTATTGAATCATTTAACCTATTAGTTTACTTTATATACATATATAACTTACTGGTAATTGGTTGCTTGAATTGTTTCAGTCTGGTGCATATTTTGGGGCAGAAGTTTGTGCCATGGATGTAAACTCCGACAGATACACTGATCTGATCCTCATATCTGCTCCCATGTACAAGAACCAAGACAGAGAGGGACGAGTTTATGTTTGCACCTTAACTCGGCTGGTAAATAATATCCATACTAAGTGCACTTTATGGATTAATTTGGTAATTTCTCCATCAATGAAAAAAATAATCTTCTACATTTTCACCAGAATGTGGAGTGTCACTTTGATTCTCCATCACAACTAACAGTACTACGAGGAGATCCATCAAACAAAGGGAGGTTTGGGTCTTCTCTTGCTGCTCTGCCTGATCTAAATGCAGATGGATTTAATGATTTAGCTGTTGGAGCTCCTTTGGAGAAAGATGGGCAAGGCAGCATTTATATATTTCATGGTGAAGGAGGCAGCAGAATGAACCCAACCTACTCACAGGTGACAAAAGACTGATGATTTACACATCATCAAAAGTGTTGTTTTGATTTTCCCCAGCAGCTTCAATCTTTTCATTTTATGTCTGAAAAAATCAAGATATTTTCTATTTCACAGAGAATCGCTGCCTCTGAAGTCAAATCAGGATTGAAGTTCTTTGGTTTGTCAATCAGTCAGTGGTCCTACGATCAGAGTGGAGACACACTGCCTGACTTAGCCGTGGGTTCAAAGGGTACAGTTGTCTTACTCAGGTAAGTTAGAGTCTGGTTGATTTTTTTTACCTCTTTGTCTTATTTTAGGAGTATATTAGGAGTTGGGTTGACAAGACTTATTATCAATTTGTCATTTTGATTGATTTACAAAAGAAAAAGTCTGATGATTTGACTCTTCCAAACATGTCCCTTTTTAGATGCAGACCAGTAGTGATGGTGGATACCACTGTGTCCTTCAGCCCAAATGAAATCCCAACTCTAAATGCAAACTGTGCAATACCACTGGAAGGCACAGCAAAAATCTGCTTCACTATGAGAAGACTGTCTGGAAGAGATTCAGGTTCCTTCATTTTTCCATTAATTTATTTGAATTTGTGGGTACCTTTTATTTTAAACAAAAAATACATCTGTTTCAGTTCAAGGAAAAATTAATTATACTTTAACTCTGGATGCAACTCGTAAGACTCCAAAAAACAGAGCTTACATCAGTAAGGATACAAGAGACCAAACTGGATCCATTGTTGTTGATTTGAATGGACAAAAGTGCAGCAATGTGAAATTCTTCATCAAGGTAAAGTTCATTAGAATAACCTGTTGTAATTATCAGAAATCCAACATGACAAAAATACACTGGTTTTATCATTTGTGCCGCCCACTCGTAATACTGTATGGCATTATCCTCCTACAGTCTTGTCCTGAAGATGTGCTCAATCCACTACAGAATGAGCTCAGTTTAATCTTTGCTGGTTCTCCTTCCAACACAAATCTGAGACCAAGCCTCTCTCAGGACGCTCAAACAACAACCCGTCATCCTGTGAGTCACTTCAAATCATTTAATCAACTGAACCAAATGCTCTTTTCACAGCTTTATACAGTGTTTTCTATGCATTTGTTTTCTTTTTGTCAAATTTCAGTGTTGCATTTTCAAAACTCTGCAGTGCAATTTTAAAACAACGTAATGTGTTGGCCTTGGCACCATTGCTCTTAAGATCATATTTTGTTTCACAGATTGGGTTTGAGATCAGCTGTGGTGCTGACATGGTGTGTACAGATAACCTGAGAGTGGATTTCAATTTTACAAGGTAGGAAAAATGTTACAAAAATATGCGTTACTTGTGGTGCTGTTAAACATTTACATTTTTAGGCACAAAAAAATTGCATAAATGTTTGATTTACATTCGGTATTTGCATGAAATCAGGGACCAAATAAGCAATTGGCTAAATCTGTAAAAATAAAAAATAAAAAGGCTGGACCATGCTAGTCTTTCTTTATAGCCATTTATTGATCTCATCTCCAGTCGTGTATTTGAGTCAAGGCTGCCAGACTCTTCACCTACAAGGTGCTTGAGATGACATATTGCACTATATAAAGTTTAATTCACTGTTCTTACTGAGTTTAATCTTACAGAAACTCTTAGGTGCTGTGAAATCTTGTTTTCTTGTTTTCTTGTCTTCTCATCTTTCTTTCAGCTCTTCGGTGGTTAAAGTTGGCATCGATGAGCTCCTGGATGTGACTGTCTCAGTGGAGAACAGAGGGGAAAACTCTTACAACAGTCACGTCATCCTTACATATCCTGTTGGGCTCTCCTACAGGAAGTTTACGTCTCTGCGTGTAAGGCCTCAAGTCTCAGGTCATCTCTGATCAGGAGCTCCTGAAAGCCTCACAGCTGTTTGATCTTTTCATGCAGGGAAGAATYGAGTGCAACTCCTTGGACAGTGAAGATGGTGTCACAACAGGAAAAACAGACTGCACTGTTGACCAACCTATTTTTAAAACCAACTCTACGGTTAGTTATTTACTCTGCTGCACAGACTGTTGAGTCAAAACAGGAAGTTATTTATTCTTCTTGTTTGCTTTAATTTCAGGCAGTTTTCATCATCTCCTATGGGTTCAATCCCAGCAGACAACTTGACAGATGGATCTCTGTGACTGCAAACGCTACCAGGTACTGACCATCAGTCACAGGTGCTGCTTTTTTTGATGCACATTTATTGTTTATTAATATTTTCACATTATTTTTAGTGGAAACCAGCAGCACTCCTCTGGAAGTGAACTCTACAAAAAGAGACAGATTGAAGTAAAGTACAGCATTTTTATGACAATGGAAAGGTCAGTTTTCTTCCTGTTCAGACAAAAATACTACTTTAAAAACTAATAGTTGTTCTAAGCTGTGTCAATAAATATGCATTTAATTATATCCATTCAGCCCCATCAGCTACAGTAATTTCACATTTGGAAAATATAATCTACAGAAACCACTGCAGCAATTAGTCAAGGTAAAATATATATTTTTCTACTTAAATATTTATGATTACTTTAAAGTTTATGACCTGAGTTTAGACTTTAACTTATTCTTTACTACTTATTTGGTCTTATTTCCTCTTTTTTCTTCCAGGTCACAAATGACATCAGAGCTCTGAATTTTACTGTGATGATCAGAGTTCCTGTGAAGCTCGGTGACAAAGAAATTTGGGTGGATATGAACAGTTTGCAGGAATGTCTCAAATCTACTTATAAATGCTCATGCTCAGCAGTGGGATGGATTGAAGTGTTAATAGGTAGGCTGATATAATTTTTTTTCAGATTTCAGATTGTCAGAGAGACAAAGATGAAAAACCTGCTGTCACAGATTTTATCGCACTGATAAAGAAAAATAAAATTGTGGTAAGTATACTTTTCTAGAGTGCTTGTTGAAATATTCATTATTATTTTTTACTAGATACAATAACTATAAAAACATTTAAAATACTTTAAAATCTTACATCCAAACACACAAATCTCTCAACAACCAAGCTCCATCTTATATTAAAGATCTTCTTGTTCCGTATTTTCATAACAGAACACTTCACTTCACACTGCAAGTTTAAGAGTTTCTAAAAGTAGAACAGGAGGCAGAGCTTTCATTTAGAAAGTTCCTGTTTTGTGGAAACAACTTCCAGTTTCTATCAGTGAAGTTGTCACCTTGTCTGCTTTTAAGACTAGACTTAAGACTAGGCTCATCTGCCTCAGTCAATTCCATCCTAAACTGTCACCTCTAGGTTTGCTCAGGACGTGGGACTGAAACCAAGTAAAAACTTGTGACAGTTTTGCTGGCTTCCTTATATTGATGGACTACTGTTTTTTGTTGCTATAAAAATAGTTTGAATGTAAATCAATTTAAAACTGTAACTGAATTGGATTTATGATTTGATTTATTTTCTCTCTATAGTGCCCTAAGATGGCTTGTTGTTAAGTGTTTCTTTGTAAATAAACTGAATTAAATTGAACTATCGCTTTGTATTTGTTGCCCGCAGGACTGCTCTGTAGCGTGGTGTGGAGTGTTCAGGTGCAGCACGTTCATGGAAAGGTTAGAGGAGAAGTCATATAAAATCTCTTCAAATCTCAGCTCGGGATGGATAGAGCAGGTAACTGAAATGTACAGGGTGTTAAAGTGTGACTAACTACTTTGTGAAATCATAACCAAATCCCAAATTTGAAAACTTTTAATAAAGTGGGAAGTGCCAAAAGACACTGAGGGGCATGGCCAAGTGTGGGGACGAGCGAGGAGGTGTGGTCAGAAAGAGGGAATGTGACAGCTAGTTACATCACATACATGCAAACTCTCATAGCTGTTTCAAGCTAACACGTAAAGTTCAGGCAACAAACTGTAAATTATTATTTTGGTCCAAACAGAACAGGAAGAATATTTTCCATTCCTGCTTGTTTCAATGGTTCATTGGCTGTGTCCAAAATGGCAGGACGGGTCCTCCGAAGGCTGAATTTGTCGGCCGCATACGTCACAGCACCGCGACGAAGGCCGTCCAAAACCGAAGACTCCTCCGATGCGGCCGACAAATACGTCCTTCCTTTGGCCCGAATTGAAGGACAGGTCTGATGGATCCTTCCCGGCCCAGCATATCCCATAATGCATTGCGGCCCGACCGGAGATTTTTTTATGCCAGTAATGGYGGACGAAGCGAGAGAAAAGAATACATTTTAAATAAAAATATGGTGATATAAAAATTAAAAAAAAATTAGCGGTTGTAATTCTAATACTTTTATCATTTGTATGGACATGTTTTTACATGTTATTTTTTCGTCATAAAAAACGTGAAATAAACATGCACCTACAGCGGGTCACTTAGTTCTTCAAATGATACCTTTAAGTTAATTTTATAGTCTTGTGATATTAATAATGCTAATGTATTGATATTTTTCTAATTTTGATTTAAGTTTGCTTGTTTAGCGTCGTCACAGTTGCTAGGTGACATGACATGTGCCGGGGTAAAGAGGGGAAGCTAGACCGTCCAAATTCACAGCCTCTTTTTTTCTGGTCTTCCCGGTGTACAAAGGACCCGGCCCGCTGCGACCGGATAGTCTGGGTCCTCCGGAGGACCCGGCCTGTCGTTTTGGACACAGCCATTGAAATTCACAAGACAAAGGAGCTGTGATGTAAGCATGTACCGTTTTAACCAATAAGACAATTCAACTGCAGTAGCAACTGTTCAACCCACAGAGGGCAGCATTAATACAGTTTTAGACCAAATATTGCAGAATTAAGCAAGTTTACACAAAAATGTCAAAATTCGCACATACATATGAAGATAATACACTTAAAGCACAATTTAGAAAGTTAATCTGCACCAAAAAGTTGATTTGAGGTTTAGTTACTCTTTAAGGCTGTCCTGAATCAACTTTAGTCTGTAAACAGTTCTGATGGGGTGCTTTAAAAGCAGACAAGTTGTAAAAGTTGTTTCATCTCAAACTTACGAACACATAATTTCAAATGATAAACTAACTTGTTTATACAAATGTGGTCAGCTGGTATAAAATCTGAATAAAGACTCTGTTGTTGTTCATCCTTTCAGATCGGCTTTTCATCTGCCAAGTTTATCCTGACCAGTACAGCCAGTTTAGAGTACGACAGAAACCAGTACATCTTCTTCTCAACAGCCTCTAATAACATCCCTCCTGTTCGCAAGGTGGCTGCACATTATAAACACTTTTAATGTAATATAAAACTTTTATTGGTGTCAGATCATGTCACTTTGTCTTTCAGATTGAGGCTGAAGTAGATGTGATTCCTGAACCAGATTTCACCAAAGAGATCGTAGGAGGATCTCTGGGAGGGTTGGCTTTTCTTCTTCTACTCACTGCTGGGCTGTATAAGGTGAGTCATTACCCTTCACAAGTAAAGTACAAAATAAATAAATAAAAAGTACAACAGATGATACAAATACAGGACTATAATGTTTTTTTGTATCTCATTTATTTCTTTTCAGGCTGGGTTTTTTAAGAGTAAATACAAAGATATGATTGGTGAAAGTGCAGGAGAAGATAATTCAGATTCTTGAGGAGCTGCACCCAAGAGGAATGAAAGTCAAAGTAATTTCAGTCTTTTTTAAATATATTAAGGATATATGCAACATTAGTCAACTATTGAACACAAATAACCACAAAAAAGTAAAAAAATAAGATTTTTTAATACATAATTTTAATGTTTTGTTATTTGCATTTCATAAAATTAACAGCATATACTTGAAATAATTTCTTTTGCTGTTCATCACCTTTATGATAAGTTACCAACAGCTAAAATATAACCAGAAATACCATGTGTTGAATACCAGCAAAAACAGTTTTCTGTTGATTTGAAATAAAGATTAAATTTTGAAACTGAAATTTGGATATTTCCAGTAGTATTGTTGCTATATGTCAAAATAGTAAAAAAAAAAAAACATGTTGCAAGTCATTGTACTTTTAACAACTATAGTATATAAAAATGTGTTATTTCATGGGCTTTGATATAGCTTTTTAAAAGGTGACTATATGTTTCATGTACATTCTGAATTGCATAGCAAAATTTTGACACAAAATAAAGTTTAATCTGAATTTTTCCAAATATATTTTTATTTGTCTAGATTATTTATGGTTGTCAAGATACAACATTTTAAAATTAATTGTACGTTAAATGTCATTAAATAATGTGCTGCAATTTTCTGAAACAATATTACACTGTGCTGCTTCAATGCTAATAACCTGTTTGTGTTCAATTTAAAGCCGTGTTGCTTAAACAGATTGTAATACATAAAACTGGACTAAGTGTGTTCCATTTAAACAGTGGTGGGCACAGTTCCCATAAAGCACTAAAGCACAAATAGTAGATGTGGTTTCCTGTTTCCTGCATTCTGGTGAATTTTACAGGTTCCTAAACATACTTTTACCTACATAAAAACACTTGATTAAATAAMTAAATTAGAGACAGATTCTTCATTTAATTTGTTGCATCATCTTGTTTTTAAAACTGCTATAGCCATGATGATGAAATTAATGTGACACAATTTATCACAAACAATGATTTTAGAGAATCATTTTACATTTATATTGTTCATTCTTCATTTAGTTTTATTTGTAACAGAACATGCCATTGTGCCAAGCAATGATGAGCCTCAACTGCATGTTTAAAACTAAGAACATTAAAAACTTTACCCAATGGGCAGGTAAAATAATGATAACCACCAACAGTGAATTTAGGAGGAATTTCTTTGCCTGATTTAATGACAGGTCCACTCACAACAAACTGACATGACATCATGCAGCCTTCAAAACATAAACTAACTCTGTGCCAAACAATGGTGACATAAAGAAAATAACTTTTGTCAGTTTTGTCAGCTTGTATTATGAAAAACTGATACATGGTTTGGAACTGGTTGATGATGGATGGACAGACTCACAGCATGCATGCGCTGTGGCGCACTAGGTGGTTTGGCTTGGTACACGCGCATCCTCGCCAGCAATGGAGGGGTTTATATTTGGCACTTGTTATTGTAGTAAAACAGGACATGTGGCAGAACACTATAACTTGTGAAATGTTGTGAAATAGGAGAGCAAAAGCATGATGGACGAACAAACTGAATGTTGCGTGCAGCCTTTGCACAAGCAGCTTGATCATGCACACAAAGTTGGACATATCTGTTGGATAACGGCGCTCTGAGCACAAATATTTAATATAAAGTTAAGATTTATAGACAAAAGTCCAAGGAGTGAAATGAGGGAGGAGAGGTTTCACTCAGGACTGACCGCTGCTCTGCTCCTGCAGACTGCTTCACCTGCTGGCTTTACTGACCCGCCCTGYTCCGCTCTGATGTGATTGGATAAAAGTGCGCTGTGGTTTGTTTCATTTGTTGAAAGCAGTGGCGCATTTAGGGGTAGACTGGGTGGCTTTAACAGGACCACAAAAGAAAACAACCAAATTTGTTTTTTCCCCCTCCCTTACGGATGACGGAAATCAGTCCTGGCCATGTTCAAAGTGACAGAAATCCGTCCTGGCGACGAAGAACATTAAGACCTGGGACACATTATATTGGAAACATGAAAGATTCCTAAATTTTCTGCGCAGAAATGTCATAAATTAACTACACTGCAAAATGTTCACAAAATGTGTTTTGATTGTGAAATTTGAGTTTTCCTATTCTGGTTTGGTTGATTACTGTTACATGGAGCCCCTTCCACCATGTTGAGGTGGCAGTTCTACAGAGATGCCAGCCTTATTATTAATAACATTAAAAACATAGATACTCAATCAACAACAATAACAAAGAATAACATTTCCTATTCAGACACAAGAAGAGGGAGACCAACACTGACATTTGTTAACCATTTGGAGAGTGATACTGAACTCAAGGCTGAGGAAAACAGGCAACAGTGGAAGCAGGTCAAAGGTCGCCTTCTACCCAAGGATGACTAAGATGAGATCAAATTCAGACACCCTCAGAAAACACTGACAGTAATTGTATATATA